TATCTATCTATCTATCTATCTATCTATCTATTTTCTATTTTTCCATCTATAAAAATAGAATTAGGGAAGTATTGGCGATACGGCACATAATTCGACTCCCCGTCGCGTTCATATATCCTAGACGCCGCTTTGCTGTATATTATTTATGGATGATGCCGGCCTATTTGTTTACTAGGCTGCATTTCAATAACACGACGCCAAAAAAACATCCCCAATATGTTACGCCGCTGCTAATATTCCGGGGCAGTAATTGAGTGTCAAAAAACTGATGTGAACTGCATTATCAGCCTCCGTGTGTTCGTCATGATAGTTTAATAACGGAGCTCGCACATCGCCATTACGCCACGGGTAATAACGCATTCGCGTTTATCAAGAAATTTGCAGGTGGCTGGCTGCTTAGATGAATGCAATAATCGTAGTCGAATTTCCCCCATGGGACCTATAATGGCTCCTAATATTGTCTCGACTGAGCAGCTAAATGATCGTAGAAACGGGCGCAAAAATTGTTAGAAATAAGCGCATCAATGGCTGCAACGCTCTCGCTGTCCATAGTTGTGCTTATGAGTTGCGATCAGCGTGGGGAGAATGCTGACATGTCTCACGTGCGGTAGATATATGATTTTTTATACTTGGATTATCATACGCGGGTAATATGTATAGAAGCTTGAAGATTCACCCCTTCCTCCACGCACCCTCCCATCTCTCACATTCCCGGCACGTCGAAGATTATTTGTAGACATTAGACATTAATTATTCAGTCATTAATAATATAATTAATCTGTTTTCGTGCGCGATGCTGCGTGCGTGCGTAATTGCGTGAATCTAGCAGAGCGCGTTGCCCAGACGAACCGGTGACATTTACGGGTAGTTATATTCCCCTTAAATTCATCTCGCCTCTTGTTGCGACACTGCCTGTTAATACCGTGACCGGTGACACAGGGACGCCATGCTGTCAAACACGCTCGTAAATATATATATATATATATATACGACATTGTAAGTCGATAATGTCGACACAGTCGCACGTGAAACGCTGTCACAAAGGCAAGCAATGAAATCGTCGAGCGACGATAGTCACAACTAGTTTCTGCTAATGGAACCTATGGTGCCCGACGCGAGGCTGCCATGCCGAGAGCTGGGTGGGTGGTGGCAGGGAGAACGAATCATGATGTCATGCGTGATTCTTCTTCTTCTGCTTCTGCTTCTTCTATGTCCTGATCGTCAATGTTCGTCAGTGACGCTTGCGGTGGTCAGCGCCATAGTGTTGTAGTATCATTAGTAGTTCTTTAATGATGTTCGTTAGTTATTCGTTTTATCAGTTAACATTCATTGTTGTGTTTTCGGGGTTTGATCAGATGTTGGACATTCCAAAAAAGAGGTGATTAGATTGATTCACCTCTCTACGTTAATCAAACTGTACGTCCATGCAGTAGTGTAGGCAACTTCTCTGCCTGCGGTTCAAATTTTTGATGGAATGCGAACTATGAATATGAAAAAATATATAGGAAGGTCTTTAGGTACAGCTGTAAACGTTTGTCTATATTTCATGTAAGAAGTTTGGTGCACATATGGATAGCTCGCCATGTGGTTGCAATTGCCCCCCGTATCTCGTGGTTACTATTCGTGAAGTCGCGTGGTTGCGTGGCAACAGTCATAGGGATGATAGCGCAGCAACAATGTTGATGGTTTTCCATGCGTCCCTCCATGTTGCTAAAGAAGCACTGATGTTGTTGCTATTGCAGCTGTCACAGTGTTGTCGTAACAGCCCTTCACTCGGCAACTATTACAGGGCAATATACGTTAATGTATCCTGTTGTTAAGTTATTAACATTTATCTTTTCCTGCTGTGGGTGTTGTAGCTATCATTTGGCAGGTGTTGCAGCTACAGTACAGAATATCTATGAAAATAGTAGCGTCTTTTGTTTTCTCCTACAAGGATAGACCTCCACTGTCAAGAGAATTACTACTTATTATTTGAATATAGTAGTAATAGAAATTCACAGTCTATTACCTAGGTATCGTATCATAAGATGCTGAACGCCTATACATTGCGGTATAAGTGAATTATATATATATTCGAGGATTTTAGGTGTTACGCTGTTTACTCCAAATCTCAACGAGATGGGAAACAGTCATTATAGCTAGTTTAAGTTCGATAGAGCGAGATGTATTCAAAACGCGAGTTAATGGTTGGGCATGGACCGATATCTGTTGCTGTTGGGTAACGCGTCAGTCACGTACTGTCATGTGCTGCCCTCTACATGTAGACTGTGTGTCGATGAAATAGCGAGTAAATGCGTAGATATAGAGAAGGATAAGCTTCTCTTCTATATCTACTGTGAAAACTATCAATGATTGTCGTGAATTATACTCTGTGACAGGTTTAGGAGGTAGCAAAGGGACCCTGTCACTAGTGTACGCATGAATATATATATGTAATAAATAATATTATCAATAATTAATCAATTGTGTCGCTTCTTTTAAACTTTTAATGACGCTCGAGCGCATAACGAAGATTTATTGACTGCTACCTCTCTAGCTGACGGGGGTAACGAGGAACCTGACCCCCTAGATTTTTGAGAAAGGTAACAACAATGTGCGTGTGCAAATAATTATCCATTACATTAATAATTAATAAATAATAGAGGAAAAAATACATTTAGCCTAACGTTATCCTGCACATGGTTTAATTAGCCGCCCGTAATTAAGATCAGCATCAGCGTAGGACCAGCATCGCCAATAAAAAACGTTTTATTGAAATCACGAGTGTAGACTCCGCTAGTAGCTACGATATGAAATAAATTAGGTGGGTGGACAATTCAGCTCACCAATATAGCGGTATCCTTATAATTACATAAAAGAATGATCGATAAAAGGCGAAATGACGTTTTTATACTTTGATGCAGGTTTCATGTAGAGAAGACACTAGTCACTTAGGCCATATACGCGTGGAATTCACCGCGACTACGTTCGTTCACAACAGATGGCGCCACATCGCAGGAATTGTAGGGGACGCTTGCTTGGGGTAAATAATAGCGCATGTAAACATACATTGCCGGCGCGAGTGCTGAAACCTTTAATCAAAACTAAACGCTACACGTTAAAGCCGCACTATGCGCATCTACATGCTAATTTCTCCAGTACTAGACTAGCAAATACTTCGTGTCATGCAGAATCATACTACCTTATGACAAAATAAACTCTTGTTCCTCCCATTTCACTGCGCGTTGTCTTATAAAAGGCATTTGAAAATACCTCCAATGTTGTTCAAATTCTCCGATGTTGCTGACAGTTTTGCGTTGCTCTGCCAAGCAACCGTACAGCGGTGCTGCGGTACAGCGGTACAGGTGTAGCAAAGATAAAAACATGTGACGTCACCTAACCGCTTCGAGGCTAAATTGTTTGGCCAGATTACCAGATTTCGCACCTCTTTCTTGTGGGTTTTAAGCAAACGCGCAGTGAAATGGGAGGAACTAGAGTTTATTTTGCCATAAGGTAGTGTGATTATACATGACACAAAGTATTTGTTAGTCTAGTACTGGAGAAATTAGCGTTTGGATGTGCATTGTGAGCCTTTAACGCGTGCACGCGCATTACCATTATGCATTGAGTAGGCCTATAATTACCGGACATGACGCACGAATTAGATTTCAACTAGTTCTCTTCATTATGACCGGACAACGTTGCAACGCGCTTATAGGTTAAATTATTTCATAAGAACGCAGTGTCGACACATGCGCACACCGTTTCTATAATTCGATGACGTACACGCCTTGATTGTCGCGCCATCTATCATGCGTTCTCGTAACGTTTTTTTTATCCGTGAGCCTTTGAGAGCAATCGAGATGTGCAGTCACTCGGAGTCTGCATTGAACGATGCCTGCTTCCTAAACAGCCAGCTGTGTAACTATTGTACATGACGTTGGCAAATGCCCGTCGGTAATGCAACATAACACCATACAATATGAGATGAGCGGCAGTCGAGGTACGGAGATAAAATAATGAGGAAGTGACGAGTAATTAGGAATATTCAACAACAACATACTCTATATGGGTAATGCTCGTAGCGTAATGCTTAGAAAAATTGACGCTTGTTCAACATAACAACTCGTTAGCGTGCGTGTGTGTGTGTGAGTGTATGTATGTGTGTGTGTATGTATGTGTGTGTGTGTGTGCGTGCGTGCGTGCGGGCGTGCGTGTGTGTGTGTGTATGCGTTTGTTTGTTTGTTTGTGTGTGTATGTATGTGTATGTGTGTGTGGGGGTTGGGGGGGTTTGTCTGTTTGTTTGTCTGTTTGTTTGTTTGTTTGTTTGTGTGTGTTTGTTTGTTTGTTTGAATGTGCGTGCGTGTTTGTTTGTTTGTGTGTGTGTGTGTGTGTCCATGTGTGTGTGTGGGGGAGTGCTGCGTTCATGCGTACAGGCACGTACCACAGTTCAATAATTTATGCATTTATGCATTCTCATTTCCCGATATTAATCAGTCAATCAGGACAGCAAACATTGCTTTTATTTCACTTATTGATTTATTCACATTTCCCAGATGGAGCCCCCGTGTCAAGATGTTTCTTAAGCTTTCTATTTGTCACTTTAATTCTTCCCTAGTGAGGAAACCCTATTAGGCTACTTTGCAATACGGCTGAATTGAAATCTAAACCATTGAGAAAAATCTGAACGTACGTCAGTTTGTGCACATAATCTTAAACCGATATCTTCACTTTTTTAGCTATGCGTAACATAGCAACATTTCCCTCCCATGTGACCCCTGAGACAGTCATAAATAAATGTCTCGCTGGAGACCTCTTTAAATACCTAAATGCAATGTGCAGCGCGCAGAATAGCAGTAACGGTCGTCGACCGCATCACTGATACTAACATCTGCTCTTACCAAGGTTTATTCTCATCTCTATTGTCGGAAATACTTAAAAATCTTTGTCGTTTAACGTAACATTTGATTGTTGTGTGTTATTCCATTTATTTTGTCGTTGGTATAAAGGTTTAATAAATGTTTATAAATAACTCTATTGTTAGGGGTTACCAGTAGCATATGTATATTCCAAACTCTATCGTTGACAGTAGTTTCTAACTGATAAATAACCCTATCTCTTTTATTGCCTAACGTGTATTCATCTCTATGCTTTTGAGGGTAGAAAGCAGTACCTATCGTAGTCAGTAATAATGAACCTTCTCCGTGTTTGCATCGCTCTGTTGTACAAGGGTTTGACAGCTGCATTCGGTATTCTTCATCTAGCTGTCGTAATTGGGGATTCTCACAAAGTCTATCTCTTTTGCAGGTACATAGCTATCATTCACCCAGTGCACGCGCACCTGTGGTGCAGCCGTGGACGCGTGCTCACCATCATCGGCTGCATCTGGCCCGTGGCTCTCGGCTTCGCCTGTCCGAACCTCATGTACCATCGCCTGATCGCCGTCATGCCGCACAACCCGGACTTCACGCCCTGTCTCATGGACTTCCCGAGCGCGCGAGCAAGCTACACGTTCCAATTCTCGCAGTTCACCTTCTTCTATCTGATCCCGATGCTGCTGCAGGCGGCGCTGTACGCGCGCATCAGTCACCGACTCTTCGCCAGCGTCGGGAAGCTACAAGCCACACAGAAGTCGCTCGGAAATGGCGGCGGCGGCAAGAAAGAGATGTCCGACGCTCTGAAAGCTCGCAAGGGTGTCGTCAAGATGCTCATTGTCGCCGTCATCGTCTACTTCGTCTCGTTCTCCCCGCATCAGGTCCTGCTGTTCTACAGGCGCTTTGCGCACTCGCAGTTCCAGGAGACGTGGACGATTCTGATCTTCGTGAACATAATGGCTTACTGTAACTCGGCCGCCAACCCGCTCCTCTACAGCGTCTTCAGTCAGAAGTTCCGCAGCAAGTTCAAGCAGGCGCTGTGCTGCTGCAGCAGGGGAGGGACCCGCCGCGGTGGCGACCGCGGTCAGAGTATGGTCGGCTCGTTTGCGACGTCGTCGACACATCTGTCATTATTTATTGAGAATATTTGCTAGACTCCCAATCAGCCAATGTATCTCTTATGAATTATTATATGAATCATGTCTTACACACTATCTGACAATTATGCTGAAATATATTATCTTGAGGTAGGGTGCTATTTATTTCCACGGAAGTAAATTCAATCATAGTACATTGCTACCTATTATATATATTTCCAGCTAGTATGTCACCGTCACCGCATTTACGGAGTCACCCCAGCAGAAAAATAACAACAACCATGAATGAAAAACTACAGATGGAGGACGATATAGATAATAACCGGAGAGGTGGCATATGCGCATAAGATAAGGTTATGCAGGGGGTTAAATGCAATTGGGTTAAACGTAATAAAAATGAAATAAGAAAATTAATTCAAAGAGAATACGCTATTATTCTGATAATAATAGTATAATATTTTGTTACACATAGTATAAAATTTAGGGACAAATATTATAACATGTTTACACAAATAGTATTGTTTATTGAAAATTGTTCACTGATTTCCGCTCGGCTGTGTTACGGTAAATTACGACTCAATACGATTTACTTCAGCGGATATATAATGTACTGGCTCTATCTAAGATCTGTTGTACACAGATCTTGGGATAAGTTTATCTAATTTCATAATAATATTAACAGTAATTGTCAATCATGAGAGATATCCACGTAATTAACCTGTTAGCAACAGTGTTGACGTCTCGTCAAACCGTATGTTTCAATCTGAATACATATTTTGCTTTCAGCGGCCACTGGATGACAGGAGTTGTCAAGAGCCAGAATCACTTTGCTCACGGTATGTTTATAAAATCAGAAACATCATCTTTACTCGAGATATTTTTGTATAGGTTTTTTGAGATGGTATATCGTAGTCTGTGGAAAATGGGACATCATCACCACCAGTGATTACCCGCAGAAGAAAGAGTGCAGGAATATGCACGCACACACACTTGCACACGCACACACAGACATTTGAGCGTGCACACACACACACACACACACACACACACACACACACACACACACACACACCCATGTCGGCCGTAGTGATATCACACAACATACTATGATGACTATCTCTTCTAATATCAGTTTCTTCTTATATTACATCAATACATAGGATTTTATTGTAATATCGCGTGAAGAACGGTTATCAAATGTTCCATGGCAAAAAGCCAAATTGTGAATGTATTATTTAGTCTTGGGCTCGTAGATGCGTTCATCCCATAGAAAAATTTATATATATATATATATACCTATATGTTATTATATATAATACATATATATATATATATGTTATATATATATACATATATATATATGTTATATATATATACATATATATATATGTATATTCTATTTTCTATTATATTTCCATGGCTCATCCATAGTTCTTCATATAAATAATATACGCCAGAATAAATTATATACTTGATCAATAATGATAAACATCTGCGGGCTATGTGGATCGTACGTTTCTAAATGTGTGCACGTCGTAGCTAATGGGTTTTTGTTTGATCGGCTTTTAATGCCTCAACACACATGGTCAATTTGAGTTTACGACTGTTACCATTGTATTCTATTATCATCATTTATCTCACATGTCCTTTCTTAAAACATTTATTATGTCGAATGCAGTTTGTTTTACTAATCAAAAACTTTAATAATTATATTCGCTGCTGTACGCTGTTCTCGCCTGTGCTGACGATGTCTGCTTCTGCAATCTAGTGACCACATTTAAACAGGCATTACTCGGGGAGTATATACCACGCTTGCGACGCGGCGGTTGTGTCTTATATATGTCGCTCATTAACTGCCATCTCATGCTAAACGCCCTTAGTATGAGTAGTACTCCGCTGCATCGATTTACAGCCAGAGAAAATATATAACCACGCGGCATCATAATAGTCAATAATAATAATCCAGTTAATAACTATGTTAAAAGATAAAAATATGAATACTAGTGGTCCATATTATAAAGTATTTTAGTTCCGGCATGGTTTAGGGCGACTGTTACCGCGCGAGGGGCGCGTGCGCCGCGCTCCTAGCATCCGCGTCACACAGTTCCGACGTCATACTCACCAAATGTCTATGGCATTCATGAGCATTCTTCATTCTTCTTCGTTCTTCTGCTTCTCTTCTTTTTTACGTTCTTCTCTTTTCCTTCTTCTTCTTTCGTTCTTCTTTTTGTCTTCTCTTCTTCTTCTTTATCATCTTCTTCATCTTCTCTTCTTTTTTTCTTTTCTTCATTTTCTTCTTTCTTCTTTTCTTTCTTCTTCTCTGCTTTACGTATCTCTTCTCTTCCTTGTCTGCTCTTTATTGTATCCTATGTGTGCGAGTGACGCTTTAGCCGCGTGGTCAGTACGCACTTACTAGTGTTGTTAGGTATCTTAGTAGTTTCTGTATGATGTACGTTACTTATTCGTTTTATCATTAAACATCATTGTTGTTGTTTCTCGGGGCGTTTTTGGATCAGATGTTTGTTGTACATTTCCAAAAAACGTGATTAATTGATTCACCTCCTACGAGTTAAAAACTGTACTGTCTCATACGCACGTAGTGTATGGCAACTTCTCTGCTGCGCGCTTCAATTTTTTTGATGGAATTAGCGAACTATGAATATGAAAAAATAATACTAGGATCAGGTTTTCGATGGTACAGCTGACAACCAGTGGTCTTATTTCATGTAGGAGTTTGTGCAGCATATGCGATAGCTTGGCCATGTGTGTTGAAATTGCCCCCTTATCACGTGGTTAGCTATCGCTCAGAAGTCGCTGTGGTTGCGTGTGCCAACAGTTCATAGGGATTGATATCGGCAACAACAATGTTGATTCTTTTTCCATTGGCTCCTTCCCCATGTTGCTAAGAAGCACTAATGTTGTTGTTCTATTCGCAGCTGTCACAACAGTGTTGTCGTAACAGCCCGTTTCACTCGGAACTATAAGTACATAAGAAGCCAATGAAACAATAGTAGCGTCTCTTTGTTTCTTAAGTATTAGACCATCCACCTTATCAGGAGAATTACTACTTATTTATTTGAATATAGTAGTAATAGAAAGTTCACAGTTTTCTACTTCACCTAGAGCTATTCGTATCATGAAACGCCTATAACCATTGCGGTATACTCAGTGAATTATATATATGTTGCGAGGATTTATAGGTGTCAATACACCTGTTTACTCCAAATCTCAAACAAGATGGGAAATCAGTCATTATAGCTAGTTTAAGTTCGATAGAGCGACGATGTATTTCCAACGCGCAGTTAAATGGTTGGGGACTGGACCGGGATTCATGTTGCTGCTGCGTACGGGTTGACGCGTCGAGTCACGTACTGTTCATGTGGCTGCCCTCTACATGTAAACTTGTGTGTCGTGGATGAAATACGGTTAAATGCCGTAGATATAGAAAAGGTCTCAGCTTTTTCTTCTATTATCTATTGTGGTGAACACTTATCAATGATTGTCCGTGAATTAATAACTCGTTGTACAGGTTTGAAGAATGTAGCAGATGGAACCTGTCACCAGATGACCATGAATATATATATGTAATAATAATATTATCAATAATTACATCAATTGTGTCGCTTCTTTTAAACCTTTAATGAGCGCTCGGGTGCATAACCGAAGAGTCTTATGACTGCTTACGCTCTCTAGCTGTCGAGGCAACGAGGCACCTGTCCCCCTATGATTTTTTGAGAAAAGTGCAATGTGCGTGTGCAAATAAATTATCCCATTACATTAATATAATAAATTAATAGAGGCGCAATACATTTAACCTACGTTATCCTGCACATGGTTTTAATTAGCCCCGTAATGTAAGATCAGCATCAACGCGTAGACAGCCGCTATCGCAAATAAAAAACTTTTATTTGAATCACAAGTGTAAGCTAAGTAGCTATGATATGAAATAATTAGCGTGGATGGAGCAATTCAGCTCACCACCTATAGGCGGTATCCCCTATAATTACATAAAGAATGATCGATAAAGCGCAAATAACGTTTCTATACTTCTGATGCAGCGTATTTACTGCTCGAGAAGACCACCCCCAGCCACTTTAGGTCTCTATACCACGCGCTGAAATCCACCGCACATACGTCGTTCCTCATTACAGATGTGCGCCACATCGACTCAGGAATTGATAGGGGGCGCCTTGCTTGGGGTAAAGTCCACGGATCGCTTATTGGCTCACAGCGTAACACCATCGTACTAACACGTCGTTGCTATTTACAGACACACTTGTCGGCTTCATACATATAGCGCGGTCCGGCCGTATTAGAGTGTACATGTATAGCTAACACCACGGGTTAAGGATTTCTCCACGTTTTGCACGGGCGTATTGCTCTAGTAAAGATTAAACGGTTCAAGAGATAGAGATGATGTCCAGATTGAGACGCTATGTCATTTCGTAAGTGGTGGGGGTAGCACGCCAACCCTACAACACAGTAGTACTTAAGGAATGCATCCCATTAGCATCGTATTGAGGAATTGATACGTCGTTGATGGCGTCGTACCTTGACAACCGTAATTCGCGTGTCAGGCGACATTGCAGACGACTGGACGCACGATTTGCGGCAAGGTACACGCTGATGTATTCAATGCTCCATTAGGTCACATGCGTCCCGATAGTAGATCACGGACATACCATTGGCATCAAAAGCCGGTATAAATTAGTATCATTCGCGTATGCTGTGCGTGTTGCTGCATTCCCTTTTATGTATACTAAATTTTAAATTACATATATTTTAAATATGCATAGTATTTAGGATGACAGAAAAGAAGTTGCGCACGCCGGTGCGGAAAATATTATTTTTAATTTTCGCGCGTGCTATCGAACGTTTCGAACTCCCCGACCCGCTAACGTATTAGGCAGCGTGCCTACCACTGCGCCACAGCGCAAGCGGGCAAGTACGCGTCACTATATTGGTTAAATGCGTAGTGGTAGTGGACGTCGTCGACTGATTACAGCGGGTATGTATCGCGTTACATCATGTGTTAAATAATAACTGGCTTCGAAATC